GCCTTGATGCAGGTACCACGAAGATGGAGCTGGAGCGATGGCGCCACAGGTAAGTACCACTCGCCTCCGCCAGTCTCTCTCCCACTCTACGATCTACCACCTATCAGCGCCCAGCGCTGAAGACTACAGCTACAGCTATGGCGCCCAGCGCCGAAGACTACAGCTAGCGCTAATACCACCTAGCGCTGAAGACTACTGGAGCGCTCCTCCTGAGTGCTGTGGCCGAAATCCTGAAGACTACCTCGTGCCTACTGAACTACCTATCTGTGAAGTGCCTAGGACAGTCCTATGTACTACCAGGGTGCCTCCTGACTGCAGGCGAGCAGTTCAGGAGGCTGCTCTTGCCAATGTCGATCGAAGGCAGGGGCTGCTGCTGCAACTCCTGCTCAAACTCGAGGAACAGACTATTCTTGGCCTGTTCCGCATCCCTGTTTACGTGCCTGAGACTTAGGGGCAGGTCGAAACAATGAGGGCCTGAAAATGGCCCTCTGTTTCAGGCTGGAAAGACTCTGGGTCTGAAAGACCCAGAAATAGGCTGAAACGGAGTAGGGCCTGCAGACCCTCGTTTTTCAGCTTTCAGGCTGAAACGAACGGGGCCTGTAAGCCCTAAGTTTTAGGCTTTTAGGCTGAATGTCCGGGACGGGCCTTGCAGGGCCCATGTGGCTACGCAGTATGCCACCCCCCCCCCTCCTTGAAAAACCGAGCTTACCTGCGAGGGCGAAGTTGTCTGTCTGAGGGAGGGACCACAGTCCGGGTGGGAGGGGCTGGTCGTGAAGCTTCCTGAGCTAACCTCCGCTTTTCATAATGCGTGTAGATCAGCAGTGCGGATGCTTTCAAATCTGCGCCTGAAATCCACCGAGTGTCGTCGCCATCGCATGCTTTGAATGTGACTTTGTACTGCGGCGGCTTGCTGCCGTACTTGCGATCAGAGATGACGCGGTCAAATTCCTGATGGCCATCCATAGAAGGAGGGTCCTGCGATCGTCGGTCCAGAAAGTCGTCGCTCTTGGCTGGCGTGTATGTTGCCAGCTTCGAGGCGTGGAAGACCGGATGGACCGTYAGATGCTCTGGAATGTTGATCACAAATGAAGGGCCATCGGGCTCATCGCCCGCGGCTGCTGTCACAGACCAAGGTCCAAACCACTTGGGAAGCAGTTTGCGTGAAACATCTTGTTTAAGTGCAAACTCTTCCGCGGAGACCCAAACCAGATCGCCGGCGCGGATGGGACATGGTACGCGACGCCTGTTGGCTTGCTGTTGCATGCGGACTTAAGCCTTTTGCATATTTGCGCGGGCTTGGGTCAGCAATTCTCTGTACTTCCGGACGGAAGCGGAAGAGCAGGCAGCATCAATGTCGGCTGGTCGAGGGAGGAGAAGTTTGACGAAGATCCGACCTTTCCTTCCACCGTGGTGCAACTCGAATGGAGTCACGTCGATCGCCGGATGCACCGAAGTGTTGTAGGGGAACTCGATGTCGGGGAGGCGGTCAACCCAATCTTTCTGGTCCGGACGGATGAGCGTACGAAGCATCATTTGAGCGGTTTGATGTGCCCGCTCTGTCTGCCCGTCTGTCTGAGGATGCCGAAACAAACTTGGTTTCATTGTTGTGCCGGACTCCTGCATGAGAGCAGTCMTAGACGCCGACATGAAACGAGTGTCATGGTCGCTGACAATGTCTTCTGGTACACCGTGGCCACAAATCCAACCAGTGTGCAGGAAGCATGCCAGCTCAGGAGCCGTGGAGTTGTACTTGCAAGGGAGAAAACGCGCGTACTTACTCAATCGGTCCACAACCGTGAGGATGCCGTCGTGCCCGAGCCGGTCGCGAGGAAACGGACCGGTGACGTCCATGGCAATGGAGAGACCGGGTTCCCGTGGGATAGGCATCAGGTGTAACTCGCCGTAGGGATTGAGGTTGCGGGGCTTGCTGCGTCGACAAATTTTGCAAGAGTCGCAATACGGAGTGACATCGGTCATGAGGTCGGGCCATCGGAATCGCTGTCGAAGCCGTGCAATAGTGCGGTTGACTCCGAAATGGCCGGCGAGTCGTGAATCATGATACTCGTCGAGGAGGCGAGTCCGAAGACGACGGTCGCGTGAGACACATAGTAAGTCCTTGCCTCTCGAGTGGAGGAGCAAGTACCCGTCGGYAATGCGGTAATGGCTGGCCGGCGGGTGATCCGAAGATAGCTGTGCATAGAGCATGCCGAAGTCCGGATTAGGCTGATATGCCCGGATGAAGTGTCGTTGAAGCTCCTCGTCGAATGCGAAGGCATGATGTGCCATGGCGCAAAGATCAGGTCTTCGCGAGAGTGCATCTGCGACGCGATTCGAGAGGCCGGGGACATGTTTCGGTGTGAAGTCAAATTGGTTGATGAAGTACATCCATCGCCCGATCGTGCTGCTCACCGTGTCCTGCGTCTTATAGTAGGTCAATGGATTGTTGTCTGTGACCCATGTGAACCTACGACGCCCAAGGAGGAAGTGCCGCCAGCGCTTGAGAGCCATCACGAATGCGAGCAGCTCCTTCTTCCTTGCATCATCAAGCGAGTTGATGGGAGGCACTTTGTGGTTGAAATACTCCACAGGGTGCCAGTCGTCGCTGTCGTGCTGTTCCAAGATTGCCCCAATGCCATAGCCGGAAGCGTCTGTAGTCACTCGCGTCGGCAGGGTGGGGTCATAGATGCTAACGACGGGTGTCATGAGCATAGCCGTCTTAAGTGCTTGGAATGACCGGCGTGCGTCGTCATCGAATACGAATGGCACCTTTGGCGACTTTAACCTCGTCATAGGTGCAGCAATCCTGGAGTATCCAGTGATGAATCGCTGATAGTAGCCCGCCAACCCGATGAATGAACGAACGTCCGTGGTGTTGGTGGGCTCAGGCCATACTCGTAGGACCTCGATCTTGTCCGCAAGCGGACGGATGCCTTGCGGCGTCACATAGTGTCCCAAGTACTCCAGCTCCTGCTGTGCGAACTCGCACTTGTCGCGGTTTGCTTTGTACTTGGCTTGTCGTAGCCGCTCCAAAACGGTGCACAGGTGTTCCACATGCTCGTCCAAACTCCGACTATACACCAAGATGTCGTCAAGGTAGATGAGTACAAACCGATCCAGCATGTGTCGGAACTCCGTTGTCATAGCCGCTTGGAAAGTGGCTGGGGCATTCGTAAGGCCAAACG